TGTTGTCATTTGGAGATGAAAGGCAGCCTTGCAACAACAGCTCCCTATCTACGCAGAATGGGAAGTTATAAAGCTAGGAGGAGCTTTCCAGACCATGCACCTGGAGGCAGGAAGCAAGATGTTATTAAAACCTAAATGGTATGAGTAATTAAGAATCAGCGTGCCAAGAATAGAAGCAATGGAGGCGGAGCTGTACGGTCATTGCCGGTGGGACAAGAAATGAGTCCTCAAACAGGCTCAAGGAAAGCTAAAGAAAGAACCTCATCTCCATCACAGAATAGCTCGATCTGAGCAAAATGGGTTTTCTTTAGAGCAGTGGTTCCCAACGTATGGTCCGTGGATCAACAGTGGCTCACAAGAATTAAAATATGGTCTGCGGCCTCACCATTACAATGAGAGTGACTGGTCTTACAAAACCCCACTTCTAGTGCTGAGGCTTATTAAATATGGTTTTTTGATTTTGATTTTGATTTTGTCATTTGTCATATTGATTTTGTCATTTGTGAGTTGTAGTTGCTGGGATTTATAGTTCACCTACAATCAAAGACCATTCTGAACTCCATCAACATATCAAACTTTGGAATTGTACCAAACCTGGCACACAGAACTCCCATGACCAACAGAAAATATTGGAAGGGTTTGGTCAGTTTTGGAGTTGTAGTTCACCTACATCCAGACAGCACCGTGGACTCAAACAATGATTGATCTGGATCACACTTAGTACGAATATGCCCAAATGTGACTACTGGTGGAGTTTGGGGGAAATAGACCTTGACATTTGGGAGTTGTAGTTGCTGGGATTTATAGTTCACCTACAAAAAAAGAGCATTGTGAACCCCACCAACAACAGAATTGGGTCAAACTTCCCACACACACAGAACCTCCATGCCTTGAAGGAACTCACTGACATCGCATACTCCCTCCAGCCTTGCACGCTCTCCCTCACCCACACATGTGCACCATGCTGCCATACACTGAACACACCTGCTCTCCCTCCCCACTTGGGAGTCTCAGAAGCAGCCCTCCCCCTTAGCTGAGAGGCCGGCTAAGAGGCTGGGAAATCACAGCAAAGGAGGGCTTTTGGTGGGGCAGATTAGCTGTCTATTTCCAAAAAGGAAGAGAAGGACAAGCGGAGAGATCTTCAGCCTTCTCTGCCAAAGGGGTTTCTAAGACCATCAGAAATATATGTTTTCTGATGGTCTTTGGTGACCCCTCTGAAACCCCCTCACGACTCCCTAGGGGCCCCGACCCCCAGTTTGAGAAACGCTAGTGTAAAGCCATACATTAACCAGCAAATGCAAATGGAAACATGGTGATGATGTTCCAAATCTACCTGGCTTCAGAAGGGCCATTTTCAAGTTGAGTTGAAATCAAGAGGGGGAAAAGCCTTCAAGAAATAACCGGACTGTTGGGAAAACAACGTACTAGAATGTGGACAGGACTTCCTAGCATTTATTCCTGGTTCTGAAATGAACAAAAAGGCTAGCAGGCAGAGTAATATGTCTACTACACATTCAAGAAGGGCAGAGGAAATTGTTATTCAGAACTCAGGAAGAAGAAAAGGCTGGAACATTGGTACTTCTGGATATGACCACTAGTTTTGGTCAAAGCAGAAACATGGGGCCCGAGGAGAAAGGAGAAAGAGAACAGAATAGGTGACTTTGTCTGAGAGTGGCCCCATCTTTCTGTTTGTCAAGCTAATGATGTTTCTTCCCATGTACTTTGTCAAGACTTGTGTCTTCAATAAAGGATCTCTCTTGAATCCACAGAACATATCTTTTATCAGATCTGGATCTCTGCGTCCGCAGCATGCTCTGTGTTCTTTATGTTCACTCAAATACTGACATCACTTCTGTGTCTTTGTACAACCTTTGGTACTCCAAATACCTGTTTATTAAAAGCAGCATCAATCTAGTGGGTCAGAAGAGTATTGGCCATAAGCCAAATCTAGAAAGCTCCAGTTGTTCCAGTTCTGCTTCCAAGCAATCTCTCCCATGCTATTTATCCCCTCAAGATTAGGCCCAATGCCATAAGCAACTTAAAAAGCAGCTAAACTGGGAGCCTGAGACTGCTGCACACTCAGCCTAACACAAGACCTACATGCAGGATTTAAGAGAGTGGCACCAACAACGATCACACATGGCTCCCTTTGATGGATCAAGACAGGCACACTCTGAAAGAAAGCTCTGGCAAAAAAATGCTGAGGCACAGTCTGGAAAGATGCCATCCAAGTGGAGAGGGTGGGGGACAGGAATACAGCATAACCTTCATTCATGTCTGCGACCTTTCTCCCTGTTTATTGTACAGCTACCGATCAATAAGATCTGGCAGTGGAGAACTCCTGTACCAGGAGAGCTTCCAAATCAGGCTGCTGAACATGCTGGTTCATCATGGTTTAAAATGTACATTGAACAGGCAATATTTCAAATTTAATTAAACATAATTAGAGACCAAGTAAATGTAACCGTGAAAACCAGAATTTGATTTTCACTGCCCCCAGTTGTGGCGTAATGTAAAATAAGCCACGTGTAGTTCACATTTGATCAGCCCACACACTGTCTTGCCAGGGAAAGAAAATATGCCACGCAGGTGAACAGTAAAGAACAAGTAGTTTATTCTTCTTAGTTCAGAACAACATATGTACAATATGATCAGTTGCATCAAGTCACTAAATGTCCTTTCTGAGAGATTCTCTCTGCTTTTCTCTTCTTTCTCTGCATAGCTTGAGCCTGAATGAAAATGCAACAGTATCCAAAAGTTGCAGGCTTAGCCATCACCCTGTGCATTTCCTGACCAATTGGCTTCATGCATCTTATTTTGCAGTTGACACACGCTCACTTATTGTTTGCATTCTCCAACACCACGAACCCAAACCTAGGTTGAGTACCCCTTTACCAAAATATCTGAGACAAGAAATGTTCCCTCATCCTTGTTTGCATTCTCCAACACCACTGACCCAAACCCAGGTTGAGTACCCCTTTGCCAAAATATCTGAGACAAGAAATGTTCCACCGTCCTGATTTTCTTTAATATAGTCCCTTTTCGGAATGGTGTTGTGTCACGTCTCATTCATTTGTTACTTGTGTCATGTATGAGAAATGAGGGTGGAGAGTGAATGAGGATCTGTGAAATGCCAGGAATCCAAGCATTTATTTATTTAGAACATTTATATCCCGTCCTATTCTCAACCACCGAAGAGGGACTCAGGGCGGCTACCAGCAGGCAACAATTGAATGCCAATAGCACAGCACTGAACACAAATCCACACCTCTCACCTTTTCACAGATCCTCAGTCTATGTTTTTGCCGTCAGCAACCTGCTTCCGCCTTTGAGACGGCAGATGCAGAACTCTTGCTTGTTTGTTATTTAGGAGTCTTGGGAAACAAATGAGAAGTGGCACAGCCACTGCATCTAAGGTTGAAGACGGTGGCTGGTGGCAAAAAGAAAGGACTGAGGAACTGAGAGATGAATGAGCAGAAACACCGCAGCCACAGCATCTAAGACAGGTGGTGGCAAAAAGTTTGTTTTTTGGAGGGTTCTGAAGTTTGGATTTCCAGCTAAGGAATCCTGATGTTTTGCCTGCATCTATGGCAGGCATCCTCAGAGGTTGTGAGGTCTGTTGGAAACTAGGCACCTATGGAGTGTCCAGGGTAGGAGAGAAAACTCTTGTCTATTGGAGGCAGATTTGAATGTTGCAATTGGCCACATTGATTCAACAACTCTAAAATCAAAACAGTAAATAAAGTACAACACTCAAAACAGGAAAATTCCAGATAAGAAACTATTGGGCCAGCTAATCACCTCCCAACAAAGGATTCCACCAGGAAGTAAGCAGCCAGACCTTGAAGCTGCAGGGTCATTAAATGCTAATCAAAGTGGTCAATTGCAACATGAATACCTCCCTCAAACAGACAAGAGTTCTTTCTCCCACCCTGGACATTCCACAGATATATAAACCCCACTTGCTTAGTTCCCAACAGACCTTACAACTCTGAGGATGCATAGATGCAGGCGAAACATCAGGAGAGAATGCATGGCCATACAGTCCGTAAAACTCACAGCAACCCAGTGATTCTGGCCATGAAAGCCTTTGACAATACATAGAATAAAAGAGTTCACACTGATGTTTTGAGAAATAGTTCCAGCCATATGGTACGCAATGAGTTTTTTTGTGTGCAAATCTATTTTTATTACTAGATCAGGAAAGCGATAAGAATGACCTGGAATGGTCTTTCAAGATGGCATCTCCCCTAAACAAAGTTTGACAATAAAATTAAAATAGAATAGAATTATAAATTAACACAATGTAAATCATTTTCATCAATGAGTTTGCAAAGTATTCATGTGGGAGGGTCAGTGTATTTTGACAAGACTACTACAGATGAAAGCTCATAGAAATCTCCAGTTAAAGAACAACTGGAGATTTCACCAAATCTTTCATCAAATACTTCTAGGATGGAGAGGAGTATCTAAATAACTTTAAAAAGGTATTTGATAGTTGTGTCAAGGACTAATAACGAACCAATTTTATCATTTTTTTTATTATGTCAGAAGCGACTTGAGAAACTGCAAGTTGCTTCTGGTGTGAGAGAATTGGCCATCTGCAGAGATGTTGCCCAGAACATGCCCAGATGTGTTACCATCCTGTGGGAAGCTTATCTCACATCCCTGCATGAGAAGCTGGAAGTGACAGATGGGAGCTCACCCCGTCTCGCAGATTCGAACTGCCAACTTCTGGTCAGCAGTTCAGCCAGCATCCATTGTGCCACTGCGGCTCAATTTTATCAGATATGGTTGATATAAGTCTTGAATGTTCTGTTACCATGCATTTGGATGCGCCAAATGTCTGTGGAGAACCTCTTCCATCACTATCACATTATATTCCCTCATCTTATAAAATTAACAGAGAATTCAGCAGAAAGGAAGGAAAATACTAGCCTCAAGAAAGCAACAAAAAGTCATGTAGTGAAATTATTTGAACGCACTGGCTCCCTAATGGTGTAATTCTTCATGAAATTGCAGGATTCCTGCAACTGAACGGCTTGCTCTTCAGACTCTTCATTTGGAAATCACTGCATACACTCAACTGCAATGTGATTGAATCCTCATCTGCTGTTCTGTTCCTCGCTGTTCCAGTTTTCCTGCATTGATCTCTGTCCCAGCTCTATAAGCATGGGCCTAAGCTTATGCCCTGGAGTGGAGAGGAAAGGAGACAGAGGTCAGCACTGTCACATGCTGAGGGAGCCTATATAATACGGGTCGCAGTAAATCTTGCCACTGCACGGGTTTTAATTAGATCAGTAGCCCTTTGGCCTCAACCAGTTAGACATGAATCATTGGCGAGACAAAGAAGCTCTTCTAAGTGGGACAGGGGTGTTTTAGTCACAGTAAGAAAATTATTCCCACTAATACCAATATCATGCTTTAATTTATATTCATTTTCGTTTCTATAGCAGGGAAACGTATGCGTGACAACATAACTACCATTTCTCACTGCTTCAATGAACTATTGTTTTGAAAATTTCTGTTTTTATTTCAAACAATATTATTACAATTTTTCCTATACTATCTATCTATCTATCTATCTATCTATCTATCTATCTATCTATCTATCAATCATCTATACACAAACAGCCTCCTGCCTCCATAAACAGCTTTAAGCCATAGGGCTGAAAAGCCACCCTCCCTCAAAAGGACACCCTTCCTCAAAAGGACATTGCAGTTTATAGCGAGCCCCATGAACATGCAGCCCAACCCCTGCTATTGTCCTCCTCAAACACCATACTGCCCACCACCCAAGGAATGCTTTCATTCGGGGACAATTTCATAGAATCATAGAATCAAAGAGTTGGAAGAGACCTCATGGGCCATCCAGTCCAACCCCCCCCCCCCCCAACATTTCATCCTAGATGTTCTGTTTTTCCTCCAGAATGGACATCTCATGGTTCCTTACTCTTTCAATTCCTATGGAATTTGCACAACCCCACCCACTGCCTCTCCCTTAACTCTTCCCTATCCTTTCCTTGATCACCAACTGAACAGGAGGTTTGGGGAGAATTCACCATGATTTACAGGAGTTGTAGTTGACCTACATCCAGAGAGCACTGTGAACCCAACCAAGGATGGATCTGGACCAACTTGTCATGGGTGATGGAACTTGCAATACCTTCTATCACTTCCTGAGACCACTGCACCCCCAAAAAATAATGGACGTGGGCCAAACTTGGCACAGAGTTCCCCCATGATCCACTATAAATGGTTTGGGGGAGGATGGACCACGGAAGATATGATTTGCATTACACATTGCCTTACACCCAAAACAAGCAATGCCTTTTTCAAATAGCCCGAGCATCACCAAGTTCCCAAGCTAATTATAAATATAAATAGAATTTGCTTCTCAACAAAATAAAATACTTTTAAAAATTCCACCGTGACAAGAGCCAATTTTCTGATAGAGTGGTAGGAGGTTTGTAAACATTTTCTTTGATTGCTCCAATTGCCGAAACTGAAAACCTATCACATTAATATATCTCTACTTTAAAGCAGGAATGTTGATATGCAAGCTTCTCTCCCCATTGCCTTTTGGATTTATCTGCATATCAGGCTGTAAATCTTTGAGAAGAGCCCCTTGGTATGTTTTCAGATGCAGAATTTGTTGAAACTGGAAACTGACTTTCATCCGTTCTGTCAAAAAGGCAACTCAACAAGGCTCACATCAAAGCTAGGTAGTCTTCAAAGGGGCTGCCCTGCCTTCTTCCTTTTTATAAAATACTAGCCGTCCCCTGCCACGCGTTGCTGTGGTCCAGTCTGTGTATATGTGTTTTGTGTATATATATGTGTGTGTGTGTATTTGTTTATATGTGTGTTTGTGCAATTATGTGGTTTTGCACATGCATTGTAATGGTTTTTTGTTGTTGTTTTTTTTTTTTGCTTTTTAAGTCTCTTCTGCTGTGTTTTTCAGTGTTTTTATGTGATGGTCACTCATTGGCCTGATAGGTGTATTGTGTCCAAATTTGGTGTCAATTCAGCCAGTGGTTTTTTAGTTATGTTAATCCCACAAACAAACATTACATTTTTATTTATATAGATGATTTTGAAAAATGAATGCAAATACAAGCACAAACAGTTACACTGCTAAAACACAACTAAGATGTAGGCAAAACGTCAGGAGAGAATGCTTCTGGAACATTGCTATACAGCATGGAAAACCCACAACAACTAACAATTCATAGTATTAATGTAATTAAAGTTACTTAAAAAAACTCTAGTAAAGGATGAAGCATCCATTTTTCCCATCAGCTAGTTAAACCTCTTGTCTGGATTAGAATTTGTGTATTTTTCTAGATGCAATGCACAGGAAGAGCAGATCTACCCACAACATTTGTACAATAGGCACCGCTAAGGAGTCTTGTACACCCCACAAACTCATGACAGGAACTGGAGGCTGAAGGACACATCTGAGAAACAAAAGAGAAGCTTTTCGCCTCTCAGGGATGTGAACTGAGCGTAGGCAAGGACAGCAAAAGAGCTTCTTGTTCCAAGATCAAAAGGATAAACAAAAAAAAACAAAAAAAAGAGGTGGGGGAATAAAACCAGATTGCTATCTGAAATAAACAAAGGAACAGAGGAAATGCAGTAGACCAGATGCTACTGTCTGGAAAGTCTATGTGGTCTTGCTCAGGCCATTTAATACGTGAGCCAAGAAATTAAGTGGAATCCTGAGGTTTTCAGCTTTCATAATATTAAAGCATGTTACCCGCACTTCTGTGAAGCACATTGGGGCATGTGCCTCACCAATAATGGGCCTCACCATTCTCAAGATTCCCAAGATCTCTCTCTGCTGAGGAAACTAATGTTTCCTCTGTGGAAGCACAATAGGGATAGCAACAATATCACTATTGTTGACAGGCTACAATGTATCCAGAGTGTTGGAGCTCAGCCTGTGATTGTGTTCCAGGATCAGGGTGTTTTGGATGTGGGGAGTGATGCCAATGGGTTTCAAGATGGCAATTGTTTGGTCAATGAATTTCTGGATATTTTTGAGCTGTGGTGGGTTAAATATATGGATGGAAAGCCCATGAATACAGAGGGCCAACTATATGGAAGCACAAAGACAGTGAGTAATGCACACCACTATAATGTCAGTGTGGAACAGCTTTACAAAAAGAATCTGCGAACCCCACCTCCTCCAAGATGAACTGAACCACCTCAACTGGGCTCTCCAGGCCAATGGAGACTCCACCTCAGACATCAGAAGAGCTGCAAGACCAAGAACAAGCCACTAGAGTAAAGATGAAGATCCACCCAGAGGAAAAGTGTTCCTGCCATACATCAAGGGAACCACTGACCGCATAGGCTGATGAGGAAACACAACATACAAACAATCTACAAACCCACCAAGAAAATCCAACAAATGCTACGTTCAGCAAAGGACAAGAGGGATCCTCTCACCTCTGCAGGAGTCTACCGTGTACCATGCAGCTGTGGACAAGAAGTCTACATAGGGACCACCAAACGCAGCGCCCAAACACGCATCAAGGAACATGAAAGGCACTGCAGACTACTTCAATCAGAGAAGTCAGCCATAGCAGAGCACCTGATGAACCAACCTGGACACAGCATATTATTTGAGAACACAAAAATGCTGGACCACTCTAACAACTACCATGTCAGACTACACAGAGAAGCCATTGAAATCCACAAGCATGTGGACAATTTCAACAGAAAGGAGGAAACCATGAAGATGAACAAAATCTGGCTACCAGTATTAAAAAACTCAAAAATTACAACAGCAAAACAACAGAGAGTAAACAATCAGGCACATCAATTCACTCTCAACAAGAGATTCCCCCCAGGCGCTTCCAGGCCATTGAATGCAAATCAAGGTGATCAGCTGAAACATTACCCTGGTCATTCCACAGATATATAAACCCATTTTTCCTACTTCCAACAGACCTCACTACCTCTGAGGATGCTTGCCATAGATGCAGGCGAAACGTCAGGAGAAAAATTGCCTCCAGAACATGGCCATATAGCCCGGAAAAACCTACAACAACCCAGTGATCCCGGCCATGAAAGCCTTCGACAATACAAGCTTTACAAATAACTGAGAATATGCATCTTTGTTCACATGTACAGGGAAGTAAATATAAAGCAGCTAATGAGCTTTATATACATGTTTGCAAACCTGAATTTGCTGGAAACAGATGCCTTCAAGTTCTGCAAACCAAATATCTTTGCTTTTTGTATGGCGTCCCCTTGCTGTGGGTGTACAGTCAAGCAAAATCTGCACATGTAAGGACATCTCTGGAGCTATTTATATAGGAAATAAACAGCAGCATCAACCTGAAAGTGTCAATGTGGTCTGACGTTTTTGAACTGCGATATGCAAAGGGGTAGGCAAAGAACCGTGGCACATATTCTCTTACTTCCATAGAAACTGGCTTCCTTCTGTCCCCATGCTCATTTCTGTCTTGAGAAACCATAACCTCACCGGTCACTTATATTTTTCGTACAAGAACAAAGCAATACAGCTCAGTTTATCACTGAAATAGGAAGACATCATCTCCCAGGAGATAAACCAGATGAGGCAGTTGGGACACAGAGTCCCTGAGGCATTGGAAGGGTGGCCGGCTGCAGAGTTTATTTTTCTTGATATCTGTGTATCTGGAGATAGAGAATTGTGGTGGGGTAGGTAGATAGGCTTGCAGGCTTTATCAAACAACTGTAAAGGGGCTGGGATGACAAAAACAAGGTGTTCAACTACTAGAGAACGGTGACAAAAATTACAGGCAAAAAATCAAACAGTGAATGGGAAACACGATTCTTATCAAATGGCCTGGGTTTACAGTGTGGGCATAACTTCAATATTATCTGCAATGCACGTAAATGACTGGTGTAAGGCAATGTATAGAAAATGGGAATTTGTGTAGGTGTATACTTGGGGAAAATAGATCAGCTGGAAGAAAATGTTGCTTAGATACAACATCTAGCAGAAGAAGGTAACATACTATTTCTTAGAGCTGAAAGATTAGACTACCGTTTCTCAACCTGGGGGTCAGGACCCCGGGGGGGGGGGGCAAGTTCAGCAGCTCAGAGGTTTAACCCGCTGCACCACCGGGGGCACCAATATATGGGATACTGCCAAAAAGAAAAGTAAGTGTTACAGGCTACATAAAGTACTTGAAAACC